ATTTGTGTTGCTCACGTGGCCCCACAAAGTGAAGTGATTCGATGAAATATCTACGCCTAAGCTTACCACCAAGTGCTGTCGGGATGTTGGGGAAATAGTCTCGGCTACCAACGTCTTTTGTACAGTCACGGTTGGTCGAGTGGTTAAAGAACCCGGTACGCTGTGGTGTATTGAGCTCCTGGTTGTCTGGGTTCGAATCCTTCTGGGGTGTGGAGTTTTGAGTTATATATATATATATATATATATATATATATATATATATATATATATATATATATATATATATATATATATATATATATATATATAAATATATATATATATATAACTCAAAACTATATGGGGTATTTTCTCCGATTGTACATTCTATAACATGGCATTTATTCACATTGAATTCCATTTGCCACTTGACGCTTCAAACACTTATTTTATTTAAATAAATTTGAAGGTCATTACAGACGTCTGCGTCTCCTGTCTTCTCCAGTATCTTAGCATCATCTGTAAATATGTTCATATAATTCTGTATTCCTTCTGGTAGATGGTTAATGTAGACGATGAACATTACTGGCGCAAGAACTGAACCCTGTGTGTGTGTGTACTCACCTAATTGTACTCACCTAATTGTGCTTGCGGGGGTTGAGCTCTGGCTCTTTGGTCCCGCCTCTCAACCGTCAATCAACAGGTGTACAGATTCCTGAGCCTACTGGGCTCTATCATATCTACATTTGAAACTGTGTATGGAGTCAGCCTCCACCACATTGCTTCCTAGTGCAATTCATTTACTAACTACTCTGACACTGAAAAAGTTCTTTCTAACGTCTCTGTGGCTCATTTGGGTACTCAGCTTCCTGTGTGTGTGTGTGTGTGTGTGTGTGTGTGTGTGTGTGTGTGTGTGTGTGTGTGTGTGTGTGTGTGTGTGTGTGTGTGTGTGTGTGTGTGTGCGTGTGTGCGTGCGCAGAGCCTGTGAGGCACCGACAGCCATATTCATGTTGTGAGTGAAATTATTCTGCCTGAGTCGCGCTTCTGTAAATGCGTCACCCACGTACTACCAAAACAAATAATTGCCAACACAGCCTAAACCCCTACCATAACCTAACCTATCCCTAACTATACACAAAGTGCTATTTATAATAACTTATGAACGAGATAAAAAAAAAAGTATTTTTAATACAGATAACGTTAATAAACATATTTATAGGGTAATTTGTTTGTTACAGCCTGTCATAAGGTCTGGGTGAGCCTGAGCTAAAGACAGTTTGGCAAACTGATAACTCTTTATCGTTCAACCTGTTGTAATTAGTTATCATATATAAAAAAGTTCCTTTCTTCCTCCCTGGATGATAATGCAGAGTGCGCGCGTTCACATGAGTGCTGGGCAAACAAACTCCTTCTACAGTCTGAAAACAGTTGTGGTAAAACCATGATATAATGAGGACAGTTACATCACACTACAGATAGGTCTGCGATGGGGCCCAGGAGTTAAACCCAACTGACAGTAAGCACTACTATGTAAACATATCAAGTAGTGGTTACCAGGAGTAAGTAAGCACACACACACACACACACACACACACACACACACACACACACACGTACACAAGCTGGAAAAAGTCCAAAGGTATGCCACTAGACTAGTCCCAGAACTAAAAGGCATGAGTTACGAGGAAAGGCTGCGGGAAATGCACGTTACGACACTGGAAGAACAGATGAGTAAGGGGAGACATAATAACCACCTACAAAATTCTCAGGGGAATTGACAGGGTGGATAAAGACAAACTTTTCAGCACGGGTGGAAGACGAACAAGGGGACACAGGTGGAAACTTAAGTACCTAAATGAGCCACAGAGACATTAGCAAGAATTTTTCAGTGTCAGAATAGTTAGTAAATGGAATGCACTAGGAAGTGATGTGGTGGAGGCTGACTCCATACACAGTTACAAATATAGATATGATAGAGCCCAGTAGGCTCAGGAATCTGTATACCAGTTGATTGACAGTTGAGAGGCGGGACCAAAGAGACAAAGCTCAACCCCCGCAAGCACAAATAGGTGAGTACATACACGACAACACACCTACGGAAAACCAACACATTCTCACCCAGTGAGAATTATCAAACGTCTCCAGATTACCATTTGGAAAGCAGTAAGACTTTTCCAGGTTCGAGACTCCCCTCCCCTCTACACACACACCTTATAATGTTGTACCAACCTAACGCCTTATACTTGCTACAGCGGGGTCGGTAAAAACCTAGCGTCAACGTTGTGGCTACGTTGTGGCTAGGTTGTGGTTACGTTGTGTTACATTGTGGCTATGTTGAGGTTCAGTTTTGTTACATTGTGGCTATGTTGAGGTTAAGTTGTGGCTATGTTGTCTAACATTGTGGCTATGTTGAGGTTCAGTTGTGTTGCCTTAAGGCTATGTTGAGGTTACGTTGTGGCTATGTTGTCTAACATTGTGGCTATGTTGAGGTTCAGTTGTGTTGCCTTAAGGCTATGTTGAGGTTACGTTGTGGATATGTTGTGTTACATTGTGGCTATGTTGAGGTTCAGTTGTGTTGCCTTAAGGCTATGTTGAGGTTACGTTGTGGATATGTTGTGTTACATTGTGGCTATGTTGAGGTTCAGTTGTGTTGCAATAAGACTATGTTGAGGTTCAGTTTTGTTACATTGTGGCTATGTTGAGGTTAAGTTGTGGCTATGTTGTGTTACACTGTGGCTATGTGGTGTGTTCTCAATACACATGGCACATGTGTTGGCCTTGGTAACAGCCTCAAGATAAGGTGGTCTTGCCGGAGTGTAGCTCATGACTCCTCCGACTGCAAGCAAGATAATATTTATCAGTATTAGAAGCGATTCCCAGTAAGAGTACTTGAAGCTGCTTTATCTAAACCCTGAGAGTGCTTGTGTGTGTGACTTGACCTATTGCTGACGACCAAGTCCAGCTGACAGTTGGAGAAGATCCAGCTGACAGTTGAAGAAGGTCCAGCTGACAGTTGAAGAAGGTCCAGCTGACACTTGGAGAAGATCCAGCTGACACTTGGAGAAGATCCAGCTGACAGTTGGAGAAGATCCAGCTGACAGTTGGAGAAGGTCCAGCTGACAGGTGGAGAAGATCCAGCTGACAGTTGGAGAAGGTCCAGCTGACAGTTAAAGAAGATCCAGCTGACAGTTGGAGAAGGTCCAGCTGACAGTTAAAGAAGATCCAGCTGACAGTTGGAGAAGGTCCAGCTGACAGTTAAAGAAGGTCCAGCTGACAGTTGAAGAAGGTCCAGCTGACAGTGTCCCAAATCCAGCCGGAAAAACAAAGAAAACAAAGAGTGGTGCTAAATAGGAATGAATCAGATAGGAGAAATGTGGCAAGTGGGGTACCACATGGCTCCATTTTGGGGCCAACCCTTTTTGTCACATGTATCAATGACATAGATGATGATATGACAAACCACATCATCACATTTGCAAATGATACAAAGATTTATGCCAAGTGGGAAATGATAATGATATTTAAACAAAGATCTGCACGAACTCCACAAATGGTCATATGACTGACAAATGCTTGTTAGCATTTGTATGACAATACTTTGTCATACAAGGCCTGACAAAGACCCTGTATGTGGGGCATAACAACCCGCGCCACAACTACCAGATTAATAACATTACAGTACAGCAGAATGATAAAGAATAGGATCTTGGAGTCAAAATCTACCAATCAATGCAAGTTGCACAACAGGTAGCAACAACAGTCAGGAAAGCTAATCAAACACTTGCAATAATCAAGCGTGCCTTTGACTTCACGGAAAAGAAGGTAGTGATTCAATTGTATAAATCTCTGGTGAGCTTCCATTTGGATTACTGTATCCAAGCCTGGAGACCTCCTCTTCAGAACATAGCCTTAAGGCAACACAACTGAACCTCAACATAGCCACAATGTAACACAACATATCCACAACGTAACCTCAACATAGCCTTAATGCAACACAACTGAACCTTACCTTGGAGTCTCATAGCTGCACTTGAGAAAGTGCAACACCGGGCAATAAAAATCATTCTAGAGCTACGTCAACTCACGTGTCAGGAACGGTTGAGGGCCACAGGACTAACAACACTACAAACCAGGCATGATAAGGCGGATCTCATTGAAACTTTTAAAATACTGAACAATTTGGAGGATGTTGATCCGAAAAATGTCTTCAGAAGGTCAGCTGTAACACAAACAAGGAGCAACGGTTTCAAGCTCAACAAGCCACAGTGTTGGACTGAGAACTGGAGATGCTCTTTCACCCACAGTGTTATTAACCCATGGAACCGCCTACCCGCCGAAGCCGTAAATGCCAAAACTCTGTTAACCTTTAAAGTACAGCTGGATAAGATCATAAAGGCAAATGGGGGGGGCGGGGACCTTCGACAAACCGCCGGCTTCCTGTCCTCGTCGAGGCCACTAGTGCTAGTGGCTCTCAGGTAAACTCAGGTAAATCCCGCTGACAGTAGTACAAATCCAGCTGACAGTTACACAAGTCCAGTTGACGATAATGCAAGTCCAGCTGACAGTAGCACAAGACTTCCTGACAGTACCCAAAGTCCAGCTGCCGGTTGAAAAAGTCCAGTGGGTCCTAATACCAGTCTCAGGGACCCCCCGTGAACGAGAGGGAAGGACCCCTGAGAGCCCGCCCCCCTTCCATGAACGAGAGAGGTTAACCAATAGTGACCAGTTAAGTCTGTGTTGACAATGTGCCTGTGACAGGAAGTATGCTAGCCTCACTATCACAAGATTAGTGAACGCACTATATATAGCGACAGGGTATACTGGGATGTTGTTGTTTAATATTCAGCTCCTCGGAGCCAAAAGTTCCAAGTAGCACGGGCTATGGTGAGCCCGTAGAGGACTTACCTGGCACAGGAGCGGGGCTGTGACTGGCGGTATACTCCCTGCACGCTGAGTTTGTAAGACGTTGTATCCCGTTTTCTGTAAACAAAGTGGCTGACTTGAAGCGGGGACTCAGCTACCTGCGACCCTGGACTTATTCTGACGCTATTGCCGGCGAGGAGAGATAGTCGACTGTGACTTGTACCGTCGCCCAATGGGAACTGAGAAGGCTAGACTCTTTCCCGGACTATTTACCAATCCCCTCCCTTCCTCCCCAATCCCCCCCACTCTGCTCCCTCCCCTATCTCAATCCCCCCAAATTCCTGCTTTAACATCACCCCCAACCTGTCCCCTTCTCCCCCACCCCCCCCCACCACCACCATCACACCCTCGCATCTGTTGATAACACATGAATAAGGAAGAACAGCCACGATACATAACTAAGAGTCAGGGGGTCGTATTAACTCTTTGTTTCTGATTAGTTACAAGAGCATTCGACCTGCGTCTAAAAAGAGAGTCGTTCAGGACCCCCTAAATGTCTCCAAATGGTTTATTCTATTTAAAAGATATAGTGATTCCCGTGGTACACACTGTACCGCAATCTGTCCTCAGATTAGGCTCGTTAAAGCAGCGGCCGTCCCCGGATGACACATTCATAAATTTTTACATAGTGTGTATTAAAAATAATTAGTTCTTATATACAAATTAATATTATTATGCATTAATGTTTTATACATATGAAGGCATAGGTCAGGTAAGGTGTTAAAAATTAAAAATTAATTAAAAATCAATTAGTTCTGCTCGTTAAATTAATCCAGCCGAAAAACCCACAATGAATGAATGAAAAGCGGTTTACACACGACTCATCACTGATGACGTCCGAACACTTGTCAAACAGCTTTGCTGACGATTTCTGTTCGAATAGCAACGCTGTTAATGCTTCACCCACTTACTACAAATACAAATAATCGTCAACAGAACCTAAACACCTAACCTAAGCTACGCCTAAATATACACAGAACCTTAACGAATAATAATGTTCATTTATATATGAGAACCAACCTATTTTTAGTACCCCAATATATTAAAATTGATAAGGTTGTCTTGGGGAATGGCCGCTGCTTTAACGAGCCTGGCCTGAGAAAGGGCTGCATGTTCTCCGAAGCGAACTACGAGGCTTTCAAATCTCATATTCCCAGAGAGGTGTCCGAACGTCATTTTAACTGAGAAGCGTTCGAATCTCCACTTTACCACAGGTGAATGATTGGATTAATGGAACAGAAATAGACAGCTCGGACCATAGCATCTATTTTTAACTAAATATGTAAGAGTTTGCAAACTCAAAAATCCGTATCAAAATTTAATCTAGTGTTCCGCGTGTTATATTATGTTGATTGTTTTGCAACCTTATTCATATCACCTTTGTTATGCTCTTATATTCATTTGTATACATTAATATATACACATGAATGTATATATACATTCCTTCTTCCTTTCCCGACGACCATTGTGGAGTGTATATCCCTCCGCGCCTCACCCCACACCCGGGGGATCCACTGTTAGGTGCCTGAAGCACTCCAACACTACACTACACTACACTACACTACACTACACTACTCTACACTACACTACACTACACTACACTACACTACACTACACTACACTACACACAGAAATCACAATTGCGTGATGCGTCATATGAACATATTCACAAGGACCGTGATGAGGACTCGAACCTGCGTCCGAGAGCATCCCAGACGCTGCCTTAATCGACTGAGCTACGATATGGTAAAAGGAGTTGAAACCGAAGTTCTACTGAATTTACTGGATCCTGCAGCCTCTCCGAGGCACAAACCAGGGTTTTACACAACTCCCCCCATGCACTCGAGCTATGTTAATAGGTCGCCTGAAATAATCGAACACTATCTCCTTCACTGTTTCCGGCATCACAGCGCCAGAGTAAACTTCAAACAAGTATTTATCGCACTTAAAATACCCTTTAACATCGAGCATATATTAAGAGGTGACCTCTCTTTAAATGAAAAATATCCAACAGTGAAAGCACTAGCTAAATATCTCCAGTCGACCAACACACTGGGCCACATCTGACCCGCGCCACACCTATACCTGGCGCCACCAACAGCTAAACACAGAAAACAACTGCCTCGTCGCAACACCGAGAATCAGCTGACGCCATAAACACAACACCGCTCTACGAGGCGGCAAGTCTCCCTCTAACACACACCTGTGTTGAGTCGCCGCTCCTCTGTCTGCAACACAACACAACAAGCACTTTTGAAACCTCTGTTACGGGCTATTCATGCCCGTGCCACCTCTTGGGTGGCTTAATCTTTATCAATCAATCTTGAAACCTCGTCATTCTCAACATTAACGCGTTTCCTAACATTTGTACTCGTGCGGTCATCGGGAGGATAGACCCATGCAAACTGCTCCAGGTTCAATCCCCGATCGTCCAAGTGGTTGGGCGCCAATCCTTCCCCCCGTCCCATCCCAAATCCTTATCCTGACCCCTTCCCAGTGCTATATAGTCGTAATGACTTGGCGCTTTCCCTGATAATTCCCTCCCTCCAACATGAAGAAGAAGAGAGTCTAGGGTAACACAGAAGGGCTGAGAGAAGGCCCGAACCTACACAAGTCTCACCCAAACAACAGCAAATCATCCCATATACCATACACGTTGGAGCGAGGTGGAGACTGAACAGTGCCATTCACTGACCTTCCCAAAGACATGGGGACGTTGTATAGAGCCAGCTCGGGTCACTGCAATCCGGTACACGTAGCAAGACCTTATATAGCTTGTGCATACGTCAAACAACTACATATCTTATCATAACTAATCGAAGAAACGGAAAAGTGTGTGTGACTTAAGAAACGGAAAAGTGTGTGTGACTTAAGAAACGGAAAAGTGTGTGTGACTTAAGAAACGGAAAAGTGTGTGTGACTTAAGAAACGGAAAAGTGTGTGTGACTTAAGAAACGGAAAAGTGTGTGTGACTTTCTTGTGGTATGGTACAGCCGTTATATCAGTATATCTTACAGCTCACACGACCACGGTACAAATGGCAATGTTCGCCACTCTATTGATTATATATATCATTATGTATTTTATCATTTAGGTATAGAATGGTTGAGGTCACATTCACCAAACTGTATTACTAGACTTGGCTGACTGCTTCAGAATACACCTGAGCTCTGATTGGTCGAGGGACTCTTTCAAAATACACCTGAGCTCTGATTGGTCGAGTGACTCTTTCAAAATACACCTGAGTTCTGATTGGTAGAGGGACTCTTTTGAATTACATCTGAGCTTCGATTGGTCGAATCTTCTTCTTGAGGTTATCTTGAGATGATTTCGGGGCTTTTTAGTGTCCTCGACCAGGCCTCCACCCCCAGGAAGCAGCCCGTGACAGCTGACTAACACCCAGGTACCTATTTTACGACTCTTTCAAATCACATCTAACCTCTGATTGGTCAATAGATTGCTTGTATAACCTGTGAAGGTTTGTTATCAACGTCTGGTGGATGTTGCAACTTCTCCCGCTCGTCCCTACACTCTCCCAGATTGATTGATAAAGATTAAGCCACCCAAGAGGTGGCACGGGCATGAATAGCCCGTAAGCACTCTCCCGGCCAGGTAGCGTTGATATGTATCCTGGGGTCAGCTGTTCTAATTAAATCATCGTTATTAATCAATCAAGTTAAATGTGTAAGTCTGTGTACACTTTGTATGTTGATGAAGCACCTCACTTACAGGTCCACTGGGCAAGGCGAGACACCTAGGCGCGTCTCCTTGCACCCGTTGCCTCTGTTCACCTAGCAGTAATTAGGAACTTGGTTGTTAGTCGACCGTTGTGGGTCGCTTTCTGAGGAATGGTCAAATACCGTTCATATTCGAGAAAACTTCGAATTTCCCACAAAACATGGAAACCCAAACATGGAAACTGTATTTGGTCACTATACGTGAGGTCCTTCACTATTACCTAACCACCTTCACCTCATCCTCGGGTATATATCATGTATCAAGACTATTGCTGCTCACGGGAGACATCTCCCGTCACGCAGGGTGCAGTCGCACCTCCACAGATCTCCAGTATCAGCTCTTGATACTGGTAATGGCTCAAAAGGGCCACCACTTACGGGCTATTCATGCCCGTGCCACCTTTTGGGTGGCTTAATCTTTACCAACCAACCTATTGCTGCTCACCATCTGGTCACCATTTGGTCCGGGAGACATCTCCCGTCACGCTGGGTGCAGTCGCACCTCCACAGATCTCCAGTATCATCTCTTATACTGGTAATGGCTCAAAATGGCCACAACTTACGGGCTATTCATGCCCGTGCCACCTTTTGGGTGGCTTCATCTTCATCTTAACACATTCACAAGGGAGACATCTCCCGTCATGCAGGGTGCAGTCGCACCTCCACAGATCTCCAGTATTAGCTCTTGATACTGGTGATGGCTCAAAAGGGCCACCACTTACGGGCTATTCATGCCCGTGCCACCTCTTGGGTGGCTTAATCTTCATCAATCAATCAATGTGTCAGGTAAGTCTACTACGGGTTCCCCCTTTGAACTCGATCTCGCCTCACTGGAAAGGAGGAGGAGGCACAGCAAAGACATGATAGCGACATACAAAATTGTAGAAAAACTTCCTTATCCTAAGAATCATTGATTAAAGCGTGCCTGTGTCTGACTGTCTATCTGTCTCTTTCCTGTCACTGCCGCTGGCACCCCCCCCCCTCTCTAGCGAGGAGTGTGGGAGTGCCAGTACCGGTCTCTTAGTGAGGGTAACGATCTGCCTCCACCCCGGTGTGTTTACTAGTGTGAGGCAGTAGTGCCATGCGGGGCCACACATGGTGTGGCACAAGTCTCCAGTGTCACTAGCGAGGCGGGGAACGGGCCCATGGTGAGAGGGTGTCGGAGGAAGGGAAAGAGGGGGGTGAGAGTGGGGGAGGGGTAGTATGGGGTAAGGGGTGAGAATGTAGGTACTCACCTAGTTGTGCTTGCGAGGGGGTTGAGCTCTGGCTCTTTGGTCCCGCCTCTCAACTGTCAATCAACTGGTGTACAGGTTCCTGAGCCTACTGGGCTCTATCATATCTATATTTGAAACTGTGTATGGAGTCAACTTCCACCACATCACTGCTTAATGCATTCCATCTTAACTACTCTCACACTGAAAAAGTTCTTTCTAACGTCCCTGTGGCTCATTTTGGGTAATAGGT